TGGTTTCGTCTTCTATCTCTCTACTGTGCTCTGTTCTGACACTTCCAAAGGTTAGCTTTGTAATCGTCCGATCTGTATCAAAACATAATCTTCTGGTTGGTAGATTACCTGAAGAAATCATAATTCTACGAGAGAGGCAGCCCCATCGTTTTCTCGTTGGTAAGGTGCGCGACAATCAACCATGACAGTGTATTGCGGTCACCCATGTCTCAGTGGCCTAAATCGCTTCCTCTCGGTTGACAAGTCCTAGTAGCAATAAACGTCACTTTTCTGAGTGTGCGATGACCGTTTGATTACATTTGCTTGCAACGAACCTCATGAAGATACCAGGGTATTTGTTGCCCGACCCTGCTCTATCAATGGCTTGGCTACTATTTCGCATCTTGGCTTTGTGCCCGTTGTCCACTATATCGAAAATTTCGGTGCCTGCTGTGGGATCTGATTTCAGTGCTGACGTAATATTATCACCAATCTTTCCATTAAGACATTGGAAGATTGACTGCCCTTGACCACCTATGCTCACCTTTGACGGAAACCCAACATGGGCAACACTGAATTCTGTCTGTTTCTGTTTGAAAAGATACCCTTTGATATCTCATTGAAGCCCTCACTAAGCTTTAGTCTCTTCTGTATATATATATATATATATATATATATATATATATATATATATATATATATAACGTTTGACCAATAAACAATTGGCTGATTTTCACAACACATTGGTAACAGCAACCAAGATTGGAAAAGGGGCACTCAGCAGAGGGTTTACGTGGGTTTATGTATTGTGTGAGCAAAGACCTTCCCGGTCGCTCAGACGGAGAAAAAGGGTTCACTTAATGGACCCCACCTCGAACCTTTGTTCTTATAGACCTGTCCGGCATGTTGCTGGAACGTCCGACCTGCTATTGAATACGAAGCCGGTTGAAAGCCAGGTTGCTCATCGACCTTCTTCGTGTTCGGTAGCAGTCCACACAGAAGCAGGTGGCCAGTTAAATGTTCATCCGCCCTCCGTTCGGTACTCACCTCTGGTTCCTGGAGTGATCAGTGACCCTATAGCCGCCATATGAGCTCTTGTGTTATTCGATGGAGAACCACGTACCCAGCCCAGAACTTCCCACACCCTGAAACTGCCGCTGATTGTCCGTGACTACTTATTCATCTCGCATATAAAGCAAATGGGACTTATTCACAGTTGCCTCAACGAGAAGGGCATTCTCCAATCTGCAACCTGGGGATGCGACCGATAGTGTACAGTTCCGCCACAGGGCGTGCACTGCATGTGGTTGATGCACCTAGTTGGGCGAAACTACAAAATATCTGAATACTGTATTATAGAGCAAGTAGAAATGAATTTTGTACAACTCTTTCGAAATATGGTGAAAACGTTATAAAAATTGTCAGCCTTGAATATCGTTATCCTTCTCATGTAATATTTAAAATATCTGACTCACGGTATTGCAGGACTCACAAAGGTGACATGTCATTGTAAGTATGCAATCGTTCTCTGAATCGAATAGTGGTAAAATATAAATCTAACAACGTTTTGTACTGGTGCACAGATGTTGCCTCCATCACATGTTCAGGCAAACTGTTCCAAATATTTACCACTCTCCGTTCGAAGTACAGTGGGTGGGGAACACGTTTCACATCCGGCGCGACAAGTTTGTATCTTTGTCCGTGTGTGCTGCATGGCAAGTTGTAGAGTTCTACTTTCTCGCACCGGTCTTCATACCCCAAGCTATGTAAACTCGGGATGAGCCTGGTAGCAAAGTGTTGGAACCGTTCGATCTTTTGTGCCTCGCCTCGGGTAATCGGAAAGTAGGGGGGGGGGCGAACCGTACTCTAGCATTGATCTAATGATTGAAGAGAAGAGGCGAGTGGCAATCTCTTCAGACCATATGCCGAAGCTACGTTGGAGCGCCCAAAGCATGCGCGCTCCGGTACGATATAGCCTGTTCGTGTTGTCCACGAATTTCAAATTGTAGCGCGGGAGTACACCTAGGTCCTTCACGTAGGGTGTGGGATATAGCGCTTGACCTTCAAGGGTGTAGGTTCGGCTGTCTGCACCCTTCCCCAGGCTCATAAATACAGACTTGGCTGAGTTGACTGGGAGATGAACTTCTGCAAACCATGTGGATAGGCGGTTGAGGTCTTGCTGAAGTAGGCCACAGTCATCGGAAGCGTCAATTTCTCTCCAAATCTTCACGTCGTTCGCAAAACAAGGCACACGGTGACCGGAGAAGCTGAGGTAGATCGTTGATGTCGCTCAGGAACAGAGTGGGCCCCAGCACAATGCCTTGAGGCACAGCACTTGTTGAGGGATATCAGTCGGTTAGATGGTCGACGACCTGTACCCTCCACTTTCGTCCAACAAGAAAGTCGCGGATTCACCGGTGCAGTGAGCCACCGACACCGCACATCCTGAGTTTGGGAAGGAGAACCTCATGGTTGACCTTATCGAACGCTTTACTGAAATCGTTGAATATCACGTCGACAGACCGCATTGCTTATTGCCTTCAACCACACATGCCTCGTCACAAGCAAGTTTGTAATGAATGAGCAGCCTTGCATAAAACCATACTGTGCGGGCGTCAGGACCTCTTTTGACTGTAGCAACTGCAATAATCCCTTTTTTATGATTTTCTCAGCAATCTTTGCCAAAATAGGTGTCAGACAAATTGGCCTGTAGTTGTCTACTTTGCTAGGGTCGCCGCCTTTCGGAATGAGCTTCACCACCGAACACTTCCAGTCAATCGACAACGAACTTTCGGACAGCGACCTGTTGGAAAGGTCAATCACGACAAGAGAGATGTTGGTCGAAAGTGACTTGAGAATCAGTCGATGAAGTCCATCAGTTCTTGCAGGTTTCGTGCCGTCAAGGCTGGCGAGTAGTTGACATACCTCTTCAACGCCGCAATCCAGACTGTCGAGTTCGGTAAAAGCGGTACACGTCGAACTCGGAACAGACACCTGGTCATTTGAAAATATAGAAGCGAAATGCGCCGTTAACGCGGACGCACGCTCAGTGCTGGAGGTTAGGGGCTGTCCATCCGAGCCATCCAGCACTGACACCTCACATGCCGGCTTCAGGCGTCGCTTCACGTAAGCAAAGATTCTCTTTTGGGCGGTCTTCGCGATGATTGTGAGCTGCTCTTCGAAATGTTGGCTTTTGTTCCTTTTTTCACTGTTGCAGAGGTTCCGCCGACTTTTATACCCTTCGTAGTCATTGGTAGAGCCAGAGAGGAGGAATTTGTCCCACAGTCTCCACCGCCTCCGAGCCAGATTTCCATACTCCTTGTCAAACCAATGAGCCTTAATCGGTCCAACCTTCGGACATTTCAAAAGCACAAATTGGGCACACATTGATGTTAATCTTACTTTTATACTTATCCAGCAGTCTTCCACAGATGCACTTTGTGATAGAGACCAATCCGGTTGGCTCGCTGCTCGAGCTAGACCGTCGAAGTCCGTTTTCCAGTTGTTGTAAGCCGGTTCCAGCGGACGTGAATACGGCAAAAATAATTCCATATCAGCTATCAGTACTGAGTCATCGCTCGTAGCCAGGGGCTCCAGGATCCGAACGTCACGCACTCGTTGTTCGTAGCTCGTTAATATCAGATCGAGACAGGACGGGGTTGAGCGTGTTGTTATGCGTGTTGGCTGGCATATGTGTTGCGATGCACCAGTTTCAAGTACCAAATCCATGAACTTTGCTTCAACCACACCATGTTTAGGCATCAAATGCACATCAGGCCATCGTATTCGAGGACAGTTAAAATCGCCCATAAGTAGAAAGTGTGGACGACTCATGTGGGTTCGAAGATGGGGCAGCCAATGCAAACAACGACTCAGCGGGCTGTGATAGACTGCGCCCACAAGTAGTTCTCCGCGCCTGAGGCGGATGGAGCACCACAGTAGCTCACACAAACCATCGTCACTTCGGTAGTTGCTCACAAGTCTCCCACGCAGAGATGGCCAGATGTAGAGCAATACACCACCGCGGGCATTCGTTAGTCTATCGCTTTGGAAGCACGAGTAACCGTTGAGCTCAAGTTCCTGGGTGTATAACTCTGAATGCAGCCATGTCTCTGCGAATCCCACTAAGTCTGGCCGCTGAGACGCAACGAAACAACGAAGCTCATCGCGCTTGTTCATAATACTGCAAACGTTTGTGAAGGCTACTCGCAGGCTGCAGCAGGAGCCGCCGGGCGTGCTTGAAGTGTGAGCAACCTGTTTATCCTGATTCGCAGATTGTTGGAAACCACCCGAAAATTTACGATACGAAGATTTGTTTTCCCCTCACCAGTACGTCTTTTCAGCTCAATGATGGCAGACTTGAGCCGCTCCCTGTCTACTGGGTCCAGGTCTGGACCAACATGGATCTTCAAACCTTTCAGCCTACTTAGACGGGACAAGGTCCGTCTTGGACTGGGTTCGTCCACAAAAGTGATTCTCATATGTCGATTTTGGTATTCACCTTGCTTTCCAAGGTGTCATCACCAGCGTCGAGGAATCTGTCAATAACATGTCATTAACGTCCAAAGAAACTGGCCGAGAAGTCGATAAACATCACAGATTGAATTCACCGTGCTGTCCTGTCATCTCTCGGAAATGCAACGCTTCTGTCTGGTCAGCCTTGTGTCCTCTTGCCAGTGTTTCTCTACTAGGTTTCTCTCGCTTTGCTTGTATCAATTGGAACAGCCATACAGCTAAAAGCGTATTCAGGCACACTTCGACTTGCAGCCAATGCCAATATTCTAATTGATCCAGTGAAAAATCTACCCCTGTTTTAGCCATCATGCTAGCCTCTGATCACCATATTTTTCTGTTCGAATGGAAGATATAAGTAACCTCTGTTGCGAGGTCCTAATCGGCTCATTTGGTTCGTTTCATAGACTAATTTGCTTCCGCATCCCTGGAACATGTTCGCAAGATTTTTTCTCAGCATTCCACAAATGGTTATTTTTTGTCTCTATTTGTCTCTCTTTTCCTCATAGGAAGGCTCTTTCGCGTTGGCTTGCAAAAGTCGCTATTATCCCGGTGAATGTGTTGTGACTCGGTAAGTCCTTTGCCCTTACACTCTGCCGTTCATTCTTTGGTGAGCGGCTGATATCTCAGTGGTTCCAAGCCTCAGGCGTGATTCACTGAGAGGCATTTTACTTTCAAGTATCTACGTATACTGTTGTCTGCATCGACCAATACCCAACACTTGTTTGTCTCTCAATATTATCCACGGCTCTTAGGTTATCTGAAGTCCGTTTCGGTCACGCTGCTACATTCATGTCCAATCGACTCCGTAGTTATTTTTACTCTGTTCGAAATACATGGGAATTATGTACTATTCGCCAACTGCCAGTGAATTCGTGTACGCAATTTGCTTTGTGTGCTATGGTTTCGTACTTCCGTACTGTTTGCAGAGCTCCTAAATCATTCCAAGAGTTCGCCACAAAATCCACTTCTTTCTGCCTTTACAGCTTGGATTTTATCTACCTTTTATACATTTCTCTTTTTACACCATGTTGTCACTCGCAGAGTGTTTTGAAATAGTTGTCTGCCAACTCGAGGAGCTGGTGGCGTCGTCGTGACGTTTCACTCTCAGTAAAGGATACGGTCTACAAATCCTGTGTTCGCGCGATGCAAATTCTGTCCGATCCGTGTAGCCGACATGCGTAGACAGTTGCTGTTTACGGAGGATCGCCCATGTATGTTGGCAACACCGATTGTGCAGTCATGATGCCAGACACCGCCTCTATGGAAAACTGTCTTTCCCTCTGTGAACTTGTGCTGCTGCGTCATTTGAGATGGGTTGGTCACGTCTTATGCTCGCCTAACAAGCATTTACCATGCCACACCCTATTTGCGCTTGCATGACCGCATCGGAAATGGACGCATGGAGGCCAGTCAACCACTTGGCAACAAAGCGTGTACTTGTTGACATCTTGCCTAACCGGCTTCAGAGAATGACTTCAAAGTCATTCATTCACTACCTGAACACTACACCCAAGGATTCCGCAAACAGCTCTTATCCATCGCCGAGGCTATCTGCATTGACCATATGAAGCCGGAATTATGTATACAAAAAACGATTCATACGGCCGATACTACTACCTTGGTCAACGGACACTGTTACTTAGTTATTTGGCTGTTCTTTTACCCACTTAATTACTTTGGACTACTGAGCTTTGCATATGTATGTGTATTTAGTTTACTTGGTCTACCATCTCTATCTCTGTCTCAAGTTATCGATTTTGATCATTCAAACAGTCCAGACGTAAATTCCAGCCCGAGTTGACGCTTACCCCACACTATCAGTGTTTTGTAAACGTTTGGGTCCGATGAGAGTAACCGAAAAGAATTCTTCACCCGGAACTGATTTCTGATATTGATTCATATTAATGAAACGGTATATTCTCGACAATGCGAGGCACACAAAGCTGGTTGCACTGGAAGCAATGTGCGAAATCAATAATTCCTAAATGAAGGTAAAAGGTGCTAAATGGCATACAAAAACGATAAAAGTACTGTTGTTCTTCGTTTCTCATTATTGCTTCTTTTCCCAAGTGTTGTGACGACTTAGCTTCGATACAGCGCCTATTATCGGAACCACGATTAGTATCTTGGGACTTATCGAATTCGGATCGGCGTCCTCCGGGTGACTTATTCAGCCGACGCTTCTACCTCATCGTGCTCAGTGCACGACGTACAACGCATGACTACTCGCGACCTTCATCGAAAGCTCAAACTAAAGCTGAACACGGTCAGTACAGTATAATATTGATGGCACGGGTGGCCTCATTATCGGGAGTGCAGCGTCATTACCATTTGATAGCGGAACGGAAATGGTTAGGGTGACGTAATTACCACTCGAAAGCGGTATCACCAAAGAGATCACGCAGTCGGCGACTTGTTATTAGTGTCTCTTGGTAAGACGAGTAGAGTTTCCAACTGATAACGTTGTCACCGACAATTGCCAACTGGCAACGTTGTTGTCGGATAACACATTGCCTAAGCGTCTCATGGCAACACGATTGGAATTTGGAGGACTGTAAAAGGTGTCTGGCGCCACGTTTTGTGGAACCATAAATTCTGTACAACAATATCTACCTCACCGACCAGACAAATCTTCAGATCAATATATGCGCTCACAAGGGCTTACGGTTCGTTTGACCGAAACGCTATTATTCAATAAATGACCAGTAAATTTTGCTAGTGAAGTTACGTTTTTCATTGGGCTTTTCCTTTTGCTGTTCTATCGCTTTTGAGTTGCTTTTTTATCGTATCGAAGGCGTGCCTCAACGTCAAAATTCACCCTATCACGGGTGCATAAAAGCGCATTCTTGATTTGACTAGTGTGCAAGATGAGACGGTACCGGCCAGACACCTTTTCTGCTCCACGTCATAACCAGCCATTACCTCGCAACAACAGCATCAAGCAAACTTTACACAAGCAGTTCGACAACGACTCGACAGCACATACGCCACTTTTGCCGACTGTGAGCCATGTCCTGTAACGTCCCGACCCAAACACAAGGCGGGTCACGTGGACTCCAATCTAGAAGGCGATACGGACCAACACCACCAGGTTTTGTAGTCACTGATTACATTTTTCATTGCTTAGTTAACTTTTGCCCACCTCGAGCTCTACGCCACCCTACGTCTGACAAACAAATCAAGACTCTCTTCGGTAAACGTTGACCAGGCATACGTAGTACGTGCTCGAGCCAACACTACTGCTATCTGCAACACAATCTGCTATCTGTTCTTCTAAGGAATTAGCTTGGTTATCGCTGCCCAGTGCTCGCCTATTCACATCATCGTTATGGACACGCTGATGCCATCCGGAACCGATAATGCTTCTTAGGCAGCGATGGTCAAATATTTGAAAGCGATTCAATTCCTCAGACCGAAGTGGACAAATCTCGCAACGATAAAGTAGGGTGACCTTCACTGTGGCCTTGTAAACACGTCCTTTCAGACCGAGGGAAATCCCCTTCTGATGCCACAGATGTCGCAGATTCACGTAGTTTTACCTTTTACAGTACGTGAACTGACTTCCGTGGTTACGCGCCTATCGTTGCTGATGCAGCTGCCAAGGTAAGTGAACTCATCAACTACCTCGTGTTCCTCGCTATAAAGGGTCAGGAGGTCACCAAGTAGCTGAGGTTCTTATAAAGGCACATAACGCTTTGAAGCTTCAAAGCGCATGCCAATCGATGGGAACACTCTAGAGAGGAGATCCATAGTTGATAGGGCCGCCCGAACATCGATAAACAGCAAGACGATGTCGTCCGTATATTAAAGATCAACTAGCTTTTTACCAAGCAACACTTCAACGCCCGCATCATGAGATTCCGTAAGGGAACACTCCACGATGCGGTCCACAACCAAGTTGATCCAAACTGGAGCAATTAGACAATTGACGAACACCACTTGTTGTCAGGAAGATATCTGATGCGTCACCGTAGACCTTGACGTGGCCTGTAGTGTTCGTGTACATGGCGCGGAAAATGCGCACATACTTATATAGGAGGCTTTCCTATGCGTCTACTGCGGCGAATAGCGTGCTCCAGCGCTGTTCTTTTTCTGTTTTTCTATTTATCTTTTGATCTGGGCGATCATGAAATAATCTGTACTGGCTACGTCAGCTTGACTAAAGTTGTATCAAATGACCAACCGACAAGCCTAGTGTACGTGTACAAGACTATCGTACATGGGACAAAAACAGTCCCTTATAAAGCACTACTGAACATGCTTTTACAGATCGCCGCACTCATTTGTGTGGACACTACTGGGTGCAGGACCAGATTTACTCATCACCCATTCTCAATGCCGTGGCATGGCCGTTCAGTCAAGCCGACCCTTCACTTATCTAGTCAGATGTGTTACCTACGTTGGTCTGGTCTGTATGATCACTTGAAGTCGAAATTGTCAGTCATTGAACATTGGGATAAGTGTTGCAACCGCTGCTAGGTGGCTTAGTGGGTTGAGGTTTCTGTTGATATCCCAGCAGTCCCTGTCTCCAGTCGCAGTCCTGCTATCTCTATCTGAGGGGAGCAGCAACTGCCTACAAAGCCGGTCATGGAGTGTGCAGTTGCGAGCTGGCAACTTCCAATCCTCCTACTTTGTCCCTTTCTCCTTTGTCTGTGATTTTCTTCAGTTTGGTTACCTTTAGGAAGTGGCAGTTGAGCTACGCCATATCATAGCTAATGCATTAGCCATAGTGGCTGACACCGTCATACATAGTTTAGTGGTTAAGTCGCTTCCTCTCAACTGTACTTTACTATGTTCGGGTTTCTTAGAACTTCAAATAAATGCTCGCTTCTGACGTTTCCCACTAACACGAAACCGCAGTTCGGCGTTGTTTGAGTGGCCTTCTGGCTGGGTCTGTTCATGATGAATCTCCCTAGATCTTGGTGGAAATTGGGTGTTGCTTGCCCGAAATGGCGGTTTACATAGAAGTTGCGCTTCACGATCCATTCACACAACGGATACTGCAAAGTGCCCCTCTTTGGCTGTTCTTCGAAATTCCTAATTATTAGTTTTGTTACTCAAAGTATGATGCAATCACCGAAGGGCAAGGTAAAAGATGAGCCAAAATATAGCGACAAAAATTCCTAGAAAACGAATGAAACCTTTGCATTCATTTAGTGAAAGTACTGCTACGACAATGCAGGAGACCAAATGTATGAACATCATTTTCTGTGCGAATGCGTCACTACGAATTATTTACCTTTGCCGATTCACATTTGTTCCCTTAACTCGGGGACCTCTGCATCAGCTGGACAAATGTTGTTTTCTTTGTAGGACTGACTGACTGCACTCTACTAGCTTCAATGTCATCCCACCTGATATCATCATTTTAATGATTCACATTGTGGCTAATTGATGGGACTATTTTTGTGGCCACATCCCATTCGTCGCCTAGCTCTTATATGCATGCCCTTTTGGGATTTTTTCGACTTCCTCTGTAGCTCCCTCCCATTATGCGCTTATGATACTTTTTCTTTCACCTGGTCCCTGGATCTTCCGTTACGACCCCTTGCGCCACGCATGCTATATCCACTTTTCAGTTTTGGTTTCCTCGTTCGTCGCTTTGTTTTAATGGCATAGCTTTGTACTTTCCTTCGGTTTATTGTTTGTCATTCTTCAGTCCCATTTCGCCAACCACGACATGTACTCCCATCCGGACCCTCCATTTTAAATGAGGGTAATTTCACCGTCAACTCCATGTATCAATATAGGTTACATCACTAATGCATCTCACACTACTCTTGCACAAAGGATTTGAGGCTACGTTGTTCCACCGCCCTTAATCGTCTGTTTATCCGATGTCAGCCACGCCAACTAAGGGTGTCACCTTGGAGATCCTTGTTGGTGTGCTGAGCTAGACCATATCAGACCGCCTTTTCATTCTAGAGTGTATCCTTAGCTTTTTACTCAGTACAAACGCTAGCAGTATGCATGGTCATGTCTGTGTTGCGATTCCTCAGGTTGTGTCTACTTTTGCGGCCAACTTCCCAGTCCCGTTTCTCCCCTATCCTTTTCTGCTGCTACATCACGATATCACAAAAAGAATAATGTGGGTAGTTAGCCGGGGTGCATCACCTTTTAGTGGTCTCTGCGACTTATTTCAGTTTACCAACCCATCAACCTTCCCCAACTCAAAGCACAAGCTAGTTTAGCCATTCACAGTACAGTCGACTCACCTATAGCTAAACGACTAACCATAAACGAGCGGGTGAACACGTGAAAATAAACTGGAAGAGGTTTATTGTGAGGTCGTTAAAGTAGTTAAACCTAATAATAAGGCACCAGAGGAGAACTAGCTAGGAAAGATGTAAGAGGGTGTTGAGTGCGGGGACAGGTGAGTCGCTTGTCGCGTTTACTTAGTCGCGGAGCGGATGTGTGACTCAAACAAACGGGATCAACATTCAAACAAGCAAACCGCTTAATTCCATAATACATGAGCAAACCATAACTTTAGAATATTTTACAAAGTCAAGTGGGGGAATCTCCAGGTCACCACACACCGGTTTTGACTGGTTAGCAACCGCAGTGCGGTTGGGAGCGCGCATACTACCTACTCCACGCCTGCGAACTGACTTCAGTAACCTGGTCACCTGTCTTCGGCCAGTTATCGTGATGATGAGAAAAGCAAACGCTAGTGCGAAGTGTCACAATTTGATTATTTGATACGCTGTACATTTGGTCTTATTCAAAGCGAACAGTCCTGCTTCGTCCACAGGCGATACATTTACTTATGTATCGTCAGTTTCGCCATCACAAATGGCATTCTTCTTTTTTCTTCCGTGTACTTTATATTATCAAAAATGGCAAATTCGTAACTAATTGTTTTCGGTAGTTGCTGTCTCTTTGTTAGTCAATTTCATAGTGTACCGTTGAATCTACTATTGGCTCATGACTTTCGGACTACCAGATTTCCTTCAACTTTCGGAAATGACGTGAAAATTGTCACTACCCATTCTTTTTCCTGGTATAGTAATAGATCTCCGTTTTATTCTGCTGCTTCTTTTAGTCTGCGATGTTCCCCGGTGTCCACTGATTTAACCATCTATCTGCATCAATGCAAGTATCTCAGTGCCGTCGCTGATTTATTTGAACTTAAATAGGACCACCGGACTACAAAGCGTCTGTGTCATGTGTACTCCGCTTTTTTAGTTTTGAAGATGTTTCATCCCTCATAGCCTTCATTCCCTCCGGTTTCCGAGTACTCCACGCTACTTTACCTTCATCACTTATTTTTCTTCTGCCACATGGTTTTCGGACATTGGATGCTCATCTTTTAAGACAACAAGCAGGTTGAAGTTGGCCAAGTCAAGGCATCTACGACCGCGATGCGATGTGCACCGCTTCTTAGCGGTTGTGTTGAGTACATTTTCCATTTATCGCGGCCATCATCACGACGTGGCGCGTGCTTGATAACAAATTCATTAATGCGCAAGCCTGCTTTTCTGGGTCACATTAGGCGATCAGACCGTATCACGCATGCTGACTCAGCTGTCTCCCCTTTCCTTTTTATGGTACTAATTCATAGTAATCATTTGACAAGACGGATAACCCACGCTGAAGCATTCGCCTGCCTAATCCCACTGTTTGATCATTTCGATCCCCAAATAGTGTAACTAAGTGGGTGCTGTATCTTACTATAGAGAAGTTCATTTTTTATTTGTGCCATCAGTAACACAGCACACCATAGGATCGTTTTAGAAGTATTACTTCTTCTACAAATAGTCTCTCCGCATTACGAACTAGAACATGTATCTGATCAGCGCCGGCTTCGTATATTTCTGGACAGTACAACAATACATGTGCCTCCCGGTTGCAATTACATATGTTCAATAAAATGGGAGGTGCGATTGAGTTTAACCGTTGTTGAACGAAACAAGATGAGCGCTTGTGTATCGGGGTCACAGTTGGTCAGACGAACACCCTGAACTTCGAAAAATCATACGTGGGCCTAAGGATGTCAGAATTGGCACAAACAAAATCCAAGCGAAGCTTGCGAGGAATGCTGTACACACCAATCGAATCCCTCTTCACTTGTAAAGTATTAGGCGGTGATTGACACACACATCATTAGAACCAGCGAGGCAGTTTCCTTTTTTGATTTCATGGCGCCTTTTGTCTACTACTACTGTCTCTCCTCGCTATATATCTATTATTTCCACTCGATTTGTCGCTCCCTCTTTCTTTTGCAGTCGTGGCTCACCTTTGCTAGTGGGTATCAAGAGTCCGCACGAGTTGACAATGAATCACATCCCTATCTTCTTCCGGCACAAGTGTAAGCCAATCAGAGTTCATTTTTGTGTTTAATCGAACGTTGCATCAACAAGATAGTTATCACACACATGGATACCCTATAAAAAGCCACATATGTCCGGTTAACAACACTGTGACGTGGCGGAGGTGACTCGCCACTAAATAAAGTCACTGCCCCTTGCTTCATCCTGGCGAAGCATTGTATTCCAGCAAAGTTATGTTGTAATTCTGGGGAGCATTGGGCCCCTGTTTGACAAAGGAACAAACGAAAGGCGTATGAACTGAGCAATCAGTTACCGGCTCCCAATGGCCGCGATCCCCTGAATTCGCTCCGCTGCGTTGCGGGCAGGCTATTCAGCCAAAGGCTCGGGGTGGTGTCCCCTAAGTCAACACACTACTTCAGCTTGGGCAACCGGGTAGTATTTCGCCCTCTAAGGAAACCATGGACTTTGAAGTTTTGTGTTGTCTTTTCTTTTACTATTTCTGTGCCTTTTGAGTCCCATGGTTTCTGATGGCTTTATGTCTGTTCGTAGACCGTTGAATATATATATATATATATATATATATATATATATATATATATATATATATATATGCCGTTCGGCAGTAGTTTGAACGCACTTAACCCAGTCAAAGCGTCGATGCGTATTTTTTCTCGTTTCACCCTTCACATTCTCGTCATAGCTTTTCAGTATAGAAGTCTGCTTGAACATATTGCCCACTAAATCGGCTTTTTATCTCTTTCATTTGCACTCAGAGGATAGCAACGATTTAAACAACAATACACATTGTATACGATGCCACTTCACACTGCAGTTGTGCCTCAGTTGTTGTACGATCATTTTATTGTTCTTTGTGGCCCACCTTTAACTATCGACTTAGCCACCCATACTTTTTCTTGTCCCGTACTGAGTTCAAGTCACCCCGTGCTTATGCTTGAATGGCGCTTAACGCTTTGAAAACGCTCCGTTGTGATCACTTGGTTTTAACCAATTCACCTAGAACTGGTTCTCAACCTTTTAGTGGTTGTTACCCACAAAGCGATTTCAACATAAACAATAACCTCCCAAAACGTTATAGTTTAAAAAGCCAATACCTTAGAACCGTTGTTTTTTGCTTTAAATTACGGAGAACGAATACTATTTTAGTTACTTTATCATTCAAATAAAGAAAACACCTATTTTTGAACTTTTTATTAGATCAACCGATGTACGTCAATATGATGGTTGTTATTGCTTATATACAACGATTTATGGTATATTTTGTGCGGTTTCGGCTAATGCGCCAAGTTCATTCGGTGCTTTGCTTTGGTGTGTGATCCCTGATCGAATATGAACCTCAGTGGGTTCTCATTTCTTTCAAATATCTCTTCCAAGTCCTTCCTAAATTGCAACTTCCCACTAGCACCCTGTATGGATACGTCCTGAACACTAATCACATGTTTTGTTCCTTCTACCTTGTAATCATTCGCTCGCTCATTTAGCTGGTCAAATGACCTATTCTCCCACCTTTTTGTTCACCCAACTCTGTAATTTCACCCGGTGAACGTCTGCCTATCTCAGAAGAACAACGCTCGACGAACGAGCTCTTAGAGGCACTATCTAACTGCGCTACTTTGCAGGCTTTCATTCGTACTTTAGGTATTAAAATTTTCTACCGAAAAGTGCCTAATTCACTGACCACTGACTAATGATTAGTCACTGATGGATAAACAATAATGCTTAAGTAGTTAATTCCATGTTTTGGTACATCTGATTTTGTTTGGGGACAGGTTATAGTGACCCAATCCTCGCACTTGTATTTACCCTCAGTAAAATTCCCCTTGGGAGTAGTTACTCTCAGGTTGGGAACCGCTGTCCTAGGCCAAATAGTTACAACACTGGCCTGGCTGTTTGTGGTTTGGCCCACACATTTTGATCCAGTTGTAAACCTGACTTCATAGATGCGTGTTTCCTGCCGATGAGAATTTGGTTTCTTTTAGTTACGCCTATCTTCAGTACCACGGTAATAGGTGAACAGGTGAGTATGATCAACAATCGTGTATACCGTGAAAGTTGTACTTAAAGATGTAGATCAGAAACTGTAGACATCGTTTTGGATTTTACTCCTCTGTTACTCGAATTGGCGGTTAAGATAAAGACTGGTACATAAATCTTTGTGTATCACGAGGGATATGCAGAATCCTCAGTGATGTTTTTACTGGTCGCTTGTTTTGCATTCTCCTGTCATGTGACATACAACAGGATAAGTATTTCTTTTAAGCTACTTCATTGCTGATACGGGCTCGCTTAAATGAGATTCGTCATGGTTACACTCCCCTTTGTTATATTTTTCACGTACTGCGATTTTAGGAGTCCGTTTGGCCTATACCTCATACTACGTGTTTTCGGTGTTAGAGCATGGCGGCCGAAACTTTGCGTGGAACAGTGTGCTATCGTAATAGCCAACACCGAGATGTACACTATTAACACTGGTTTTACCTTGATGTGTAGATAGTGTTCTCCACCATGCGAGCTCTATTCTCACAATGATAGAGTGCTCTGGCTTCACGTTCTCCGGCTCAAACATAGCGTCCCCTAGGCAACTGCGGGCCCATTCTAATGAGTGTCCAATACTACATCCATTACCGTCCCGCAGCCGACCCCACTCGTCTTTCATAGTGATATGCTGTGACAATTTGCATCGATAGGCCTATTTGTTGTTTAGGTTTGTAGCTTGAAACTGACTTCTTTGTTTTTGGCTATATTTTCATGGCATGAAACTGTCTTACTTGAACACAGCGATGCTCACTTTCCCAGCACAGCAGCTTTCTACAATAACACAATGCGTACTGCCAGATGACTCTTTTTCAGACCCAGTTTGGCTCTAATCTTGTCGATATCGATACTTTCACTATGCGCTGTGGCGCTTCGCTAAGGTTTCCGGTTTGTTACCGACGCTATTCGGTCTGCTGGGTTGACCCGAACCACTACAACTTGGATTCCTTTTATTTCCTTTGAGAATTGAGCACCACTTCTCCGGAATTTTGGCGCAGCTTGCCACCGCGCCGTGTTTACTCATGTCCTTTTACTCATCGTAGGGTTATGGTTTCTACAACTTTCGCACACCAGTCACTCGTCCTCTAACACTAGCTGTCCGTAATCATGCGAATTCCTCCACCGGCCTACTTGTTCTCTAAAACCTCACGGCTCCTTGTATGCCAAACTCGTGCCTCACCCATGCCGAATCCATTCCTACTCCGGATTCCTATCAATACGCCACCAACACTTTTTCCTTCCTTGCACTGTCGTCTGTCCTTGGGATGATAATTTCACATAACCACAAGCTGTATATTTTCCGTTCACTGTGTAGCACCCTCAATCACTGCCTGAGAGTGTAGTTTAGATGGCAAATCTAACTCCTGTTCTTCGGTAGGTCTCGTTTGATTTCTCGCCGACCGCTGATCGCCCTGATCCTTGGGCTGTCCCTTTGGATCAACCCTCTCGTTCAGTCGTCGAGCGTGAGATAAGACGGCTGAAGTTGGCTAAGGCCGCGGGATCAGTTGCTCTTCATCCAGCGCTCTTCAAATTCGGGGATCTGCTCTTGATGATGATTTATACGAGTTGCCAGTGAAACTTTGGGAGCCAGAAACTGTCCCACACGACTGGAGCCGCTCCGTCATGGTCCCAGTCTTCAATAGAGGCTCACGTTCGGAATGCGTCAACCGTGGAGTAATCAGTCCGATTCCATCGCCTCCAAATTGCTTGCCTCTATCATCATTCCCAGACCGACTGGCACTCATGAAGGCCAAATTCATTAGGAGCAAGCCGGGTTTCAGCGAGTTCGGGACTGCATCGACCACATATTCACTTTGCGTCAGTTGTTTCAGCACCGTCACCTATATTGGCGGCCCAGTATTGTCCTGTTCCTCAATATCAAAGGTGCATTCGATTCGGTGGATAGATGTGCCCTTTGGGACTGTCTGCTAAGAAAAGGTGTGCCCGAGAAATATGTAATCATGCAAGCGCTTTACGCATGTAGCTCGGGCATAGTGAGGGCTTACGGCCGGCTGTGGCCGCCCTTCAGTATGTTCAACGATGTGAGGCAAGAATGCCCGCTGTCACCTTTCCTCTTCAACTTCACTATTGATGAAGTCATGGAAATCACGTTCACAATACACGACTTAGGTGTGGAGCTGCTCCCAGGATAACGACTTCTTCACTTAGAGTATGCTGACGATATGTCCGTCATCTGTGACAGCTCACAAACGTACCAATCTGCACTGGACTGATTAGCATTGACTGTCAGTCACTTCGGGATTTGATTTGCACCCTCGAACTGCAAAGCTTTCCTCCAAGATTGAGCTGGACCGCCGCCTACGCTGACCCTTGTTCGGGATTTGTTAGAAGTCGTTCAAAAATTTAACCAACTGGGCAGTTTTATCAGTGCCTGTGGAATCGAAGACGAGGTCACGAATCGCATCGCAAAGGCTCCAGGCGCCTTTCGACATCACTCTCTCCCTGAAGGATAGTTCACAATGCAGCGGTACGTTCGACCTTACTATACGGTTGTGAAACCTAGCCCTTTAGATCAGCCAACATAAAGAGGCTAATTACATTCAACGACCGGTGCCTTCGCAATTTGGCTCATATGAGCGTGCTCGACGCCTTGTTTATGGCTCAGGAAGTGGAATTGAACCGCTCAGCACCGTTATTTCACGCACCAGGCTCCGATGGCTCGGTCACCTGTTGCGTATGCCAGCCCACCGGCTCCCGCGACGTGCGTTGTTTTCGCGCCGGGGTGTGGATGGATGAAGAAGAGAGGTGGCCAAGCGATGATATGGCCGATAGGAATGAAAGCCCTTATTTCGACCTTGGCTTCGGTTGGAGTCTCTCGCTTCCTTGCTTGCGGTCCGAAAGACGATGAACACGTTTGGCTGGATGCACTTGCTGATATGGCTAGGAGCCGACATCAATAGTGGTCGTGCTGTGAGTTTCGTTGTCTCTCTCTCTCCCACTTAGTCTGCTCCTCCGACCTCGATCT